TTGTAAGCCTATCTCTCGCAGGTATTAACTGAACCCCACGTTCTATGGCTAATGGCAGCCATTTTGTTTTGTTTTGTTTTCAAAAAGGATACACATAACATTCTCATCACATATGTATTATGTGAATTAAAAAAAATGTGGAAAATACTCAGAAACAAACCTAATTTATCAATTAATATTATATCTCCATGGCAGAAGAAGCCCTATGTGTATACTAGTATTCCTTTGATATGGGGGCCATCTTGGATTTTTCTCGAATTGCTTGTGAATAAAGCTTTGTTACTCACCACAAATATAGTATTTGTGTAATAAGAAACAAAATTAATTAGATAGTGGGCAATGCATCTTCCTAGTTGGCATTAGTTAGTTGAAAACCCTTGTACAGGTTCTAGTATTCCTATGCCATACGGCGGCCATCTTGGATTTTTCAATAAGTCCAAGGACACTATGATAGAACAGTTTCATTAGCTCTGTATGTATAAATTCAAATTACTGTTTTTCTTTTTATCAAGAGCTTGTAAAATATGTGGGTATTACCTCCAATATTTCTGTGACTGTCAGTCACCGATGATGGTGACTGACAGTCACAGAAATATTGGAGGTAATACCCACATATTTTACAAGCTCTTGATAAAAAGAAAAACAGTAATTTGAACCAAGGACACTAGTTTGTTATCTGACGCATCTGCATAATATGGGTAATAAGGATGTGGAAAACATTGAGAAAATACTTAATTTGATAAAAATCAACATAGATATGTATATATTTCTACAAAATTTCACAAATTGGCGGCCATTTTGGATTTTTTGGCCAAACGGTTAATTTTTTCCGTGGGCTACGGCTCTAATTTGATTTAGTATGTCAAAAGGTACCCACATGCAAAATATGGTGCTTTTATCCGCTGTGTCACGATTTGGCCATTTTTTTGCCCTAAGCAACCGGACTATAGGTGGTGAAATTTGACGCTATTCTGAGCCAGTCCTCGGTTATGCTGTATAGCGCGGGCCAAATTCCCGCCACGAGTGTATCAGAAATACTGTCCAACTTTTTGTCTGAAATCGGGCTATACACACGCGTCCTCGGTTGTGCTGTAAAGGGCGGACCAAATTCCGCGTCCTCGGTTGTGCTGTAAAGGGCAGACTAAACTGAAACTAATGTTATATCTCAGATGTCTATATATTCAGTAAGTTCATATTTTTAAACTAAAGGTCTTTTTTATCAAATTAAGCTCTCCTAGGCCGTTACGTAACTACATAACTATCATCGCACTGTACATATTACGGCACGCTTCTTTATTAGTACAACTGACTTGGAGTGGTTTAAATAAAGAAGAACTGTCTGAATTTGTGGCTCACTCGGTAGATCTTAGGACCGACAATCTTTTGAGGGTGCAAGAATTACTCTGAAGTATCAAATAAACGTACCGGTACGTTAATTAATTTTCCAAATTTCTTCCCGCCGGTACGCTCCATTTTCACCCAGTACGCTTATTAATTTTTCAAAAATCTTCCACCCGGTATGTTTATTAAATACATATTGTACCGGTGGGAAATTACACAAGTACAAGTCACGCTTTTTATTTTCTTAAATTGAAGTATAATGAGAAGAAAATTGAGATCTCAACTCATTACCGACTGTTCTACCAACAGCACTGGAAAGTAGGTCAAGCGGAAGTCGCTCTCTGAACACAACAGTACATGCGTCACCTGATTTCAGTTCCTATAAATAGACGTGCTTTCCCTTCAACAGTGACAACTACTCATGTACATCGATCGAATGATGCAATGTCGCAAGGTGATAGGATCATATTTATAGCTAAGGAGGTCATTTCAAGTGCAGCAAAGAAGTTGTGCCTGTTTTCAAACGTCAATTATTTCATGCCGATTTATGATTTAAACGATGTTAAATCACATTTCTATGTAAGATAAACCCTTAGGAGTTTACAGGTATGCAAAACGAACCTTATATCTGAGAATAAATTTACTATGAATAACGTCTCCGTATGGCTCTCGGAGGCGGCTTAGGTGCGACATATCTGGGTCTTCGGCCCCTGACGATTATGAAATTTAACTCATGGCAAATATATATATATAT